CACTGCCTGTTCCATTTTTTCTGCTTTCTTTACTCCTTCCCACCTATCAGCCAGCCCTACCTTTATCTACCTCTGGTCTTCAGCCTTCCATCCTTCCCTTCCCCAGGCAGCCTCTCTCTGAGAAAACTCTGTGTGGTTCCAGCTGTTACGTGGTGCTAAGCTCTGAGCCAGACACAGCTGCATGGTGGAGAATTCACAAGGACTTGCAGTTGGCACATCACTTTCCTCTGTATCCCCCTCCTCAAACAATTTCCTCTTTTCTTCCACCTGGCAACCCCCATATCCTCATATTTTCATTATTCCTTTTCTCCTTCCCATCAATCCTCCAAAACCTTTTATCTGCACCCCCATCTCCAACTATATTTATTATTAATTGACTTCATTTATATTCCATCTTTCTCCACAATGTAGAGCCACAGTGTCTTACAGCATTCTCCTCTCCATTTTATCCTCACAACAACCCTATGAGGTAGATTAGGCTGAGAATGTGTAACTGGCCCAAGCCTACCCAGTAAGCTTCCATAGCAGAATGGGAATTCAGACCTGGGTCTCCCAGATCCTAGTCCAAAATGTTAACTGCTATACCACACTGGTTTTCATGGAATGGTTGCCCGTAGTGAGCAGCTGGCTCTGAATGAGTCATTCGAGTCAGGCTGCAAATTGTCCAATGGCTGCTATAATGCCTGGCCCCATGAAACAGCCCTGGAAAGGGCCCTGTCCTATTCCCTACCTTTTACTGACAGAAACCAAGGCTGGAAGGCTGGCAGTACTCTTGTGGTTGCCTAGTAATGGCCACTGAGAACACTTGTTTTTTAAAGCTCCAGGTGCTGCTTCTATTATTTTGGGCTTTTTAACCCCCCAATGTTTTTTAGATTTCAGATTTTTCTGCAAACCTGGGGGCTTCTCTGATTTATAAAATGTTCTCTTGCTTGTCCATGGCTCCTGTCTTAGGATTTACATATCCACACATGGGACCATGTTGAGAATCAGAGATATTGATTAAACAAGCAAAAACTCATGCTTCAATACATATTATATTTTCTGGTAGCACAATGATCTTTTTTATTTCATTCAAATTAGGAAACATGTCATGAAATATTTCTTTTCAGTTTGATTGAAGATTGCTGTCCAAAGGGCTGTGTGACCCTCTTCCAGCACAGATCATAAGTGTACATGTTGAATTGACAAGTTATGTACTTATTCTTCTTGTTCAGGTTCCTCCACCTGATGCTTTGGAGGTTGTAAACACATGCAGGATGAGTTCCTTCACTCCCCCACCCTTCTTTGATGGGTAAGACAGGAAACCTAGGGAGACTCCATTTGCTGCTCTGATTGCTGATCTCATAAGAACATAAGAGACGCCAATGTTGGATCAGGCCAAAGGCCCATCCAGTCCAACACTCTGTATCACACAGTGGCCAGAAATACCAGGTGCCATCAGGAGGTCCACCAGTGGGGCCAGGACATTAGAAACCCTCCCACTGTTGACCCCCCCCCCAAGCACCAAGAAGACAGAGCATCCCTTGCCCCAGAGCCCCTATCTATACCTTGTGGCTAATAGCTACTGATGGACCTCTGCTCCATATGCTTATCTAATTCCCTTTTGAAGCCGTCCATGCTTGTAGCTGCCACCACTTCCTGTGGCAGTGAATTCCATGTGTTAATCACTCTTTGGGTGAAGAAGTACTTTCTTTTATCCGTTCTAACCCGACCACTCAGCAATTTCATTGAGTGCCCACAAGTTCTTATATTGTGAGAAAGGGAGAAAAGTATCTTTTTCCCTACCTGCTCTTTCCCATGCATAATCTTAAATCTGATTGTGGGGGGCACTGCTCAACTAGCCCATGCCCCGTACTGGAACATTTTATATCTTTCGTAGCTGTCCTCTCTCAAAATGGCTGCATGCTGGCGATAAAGGCGGATAAGGGAGATAAAACGTCATCCGTGGCCATTTTCAAAACTCTTTTAAGATCAGCTTTTAGCCTGCAGAACAGGGAAGGGCTAAGGCATTAGGACGGCCTAGCAGTGGCAAAGCTGAAACGGGGTCCTCTGCTTTGAGGAGGGAAAGGAGACAGGCACCAGTTTACCCAGAAACTTTGAACTCCCCTGTGGAAACGTGCCTTGTACTGGTAACAGCTTTGCATGTTGAGTTACTGCAGTGCTTCACACCAGATCTGTGCATTCGCTGAAGCCCAAGATAACTTTGTGAGATTTGTAAGATGCCAAGAGATTATGTGGAAGGAGGAGAGATTGGATTTATACCCCACCTTTCACTACCCGAAGGAGTCTCAGAGTGGCTAACAAACTCCTTTCCCTTCCCCTCCCCACAACAGACACCCTTTGAGGTAGGTGGGGCTGAGAGAGCTCTTTCGAGGACTGCCCGTGAGAGAACAGCTCTGAGAGAACTTGTGACTGACCCAAGGTCATACCAGCAGCTGTATGTGGAGAAGCGGGGAATCAAACCCGGTTCTCCCCGGTTCTCCATGCTTGCCGGGTGGCTCTGTTGGCGTCGAGCAGCAAAACAAGGCTTTGAGTCCAGGGGCACCTTTAAGACCAACAAAGTTTTATTCCAGGTACAACCTTTTGTGTGCAGGCACACTTCTTAAGATACAATGAAACGGAAATTACCAATCCATACATACAGGTAGAGGGTGAGCAGTAAATTTTTTGTTGTTCAGTCAGACAGTCGAGTCCGACGTCGCGACCCCATGGACCACATTACGCCAGGCCCGCCCGTCTTCTGCCGTGCTCCGGGAGTGTGCTCAATTCCACGTTTGTTGCATCGACAGAGGAGTAAATTAGCATACAGCATCATGAAGATATTTAACGGATCGGAGGACCAAGCAGGAATAACAAGCTTGAGTCACCATTTGCTTGGGTTTAATTCTTGGGGGGGAAATAGTGAAGGAGGAAAACATGTTAAAATCGGAGACTGTTGAGCAGGTGTATACTTAAATGTGGGACACTGAGTAATTAACCGAGACCCTTCCATTATGCTCCATCCATCTCCTCTCAAGACGCCGCTGGGCTCAAACGTGGTTGTGTTGTAGGGTTGCCGGATCCGTCCTGGCTATTAGCAGGGGATAGTGAGGTAGAGTTGCCAAATCCAGGTTGGGGAACTCCTGTAGATTTGGGAGTAGAGCCAGGGCAGGACAGGGACCTCCGTGGGGTACAAGGCCATAGAGCCCACCCTCCAAAGCACCCCTTTTCTCTAGGGAAGCTGATCTGTGTAGTCTGGAGATGAGCTGTTATTCCGGGGGGGGGGTCCCAGGGCCCACCTGGAGGCTGGTAACCAGTGTTCCCTCTAAGCTGAGTTAGTGTGAGCTAGCTCACCATTTTTTAGCCTGCAGCTCAGGAAAGACGGCTCCAGGGCAAACTAATTGATGCAGTAGCCAAATCACTCGCTCACAACTTTCATGCCAGTAGTTTACAAAGTAGAATTTCTGCTCACAGGACTCCACAGCTTAGAGGGAGCATTGCGGTGGTAACCCTGGCTACAGCACTAATAGCCACACACCGTGCTGCCGTAGCATCAGCAGCTTAAGAGGTGGAGGGTTCGAATCTCGGCTTGACTGTGGACTGTAACTCCGGCCGGCCTTACAGGGTTGCTGAAAGAGGCTGTGTGCGGATTGCATCTGAGGCACTCGCTGAACGCGCTGACCCAACACTGCTCGCTCTAATAAAAGGACATCTTCCGTGATCCAAGACCAGCTCCTTCTCTCCAGCCCCAAACTGCCTACTTAGA